TTATTTTTTTTTCTATGCCAAAAGCAGTTTAGTGAAACTAAAAGCCATAGCAAAAGCCTGACCTGCACTAACATTCAGCTTCTTAGGTACAATAAACAAATTACCAAATAAAGACAGAAACTAGTTGCCTAACACTGAAGCACAAATACGCTTGACAACAATGGAGATAGGATGAATTTTGTGTTACTTGTGAAATGTATAGGAATATTAAAAGAGTTTAGTTAAGAATTTCCAATAAATGAATACAATTTGAGTTTAAAAAAAAGACATTTTAATGGAGCCCATGTTATTGAGAATTTATTTGACGTTCATCTTTTGGGCGTGATCAGAAATATATTATTATTTAGCTTAAAAATAAGTATGGTTCAAAATCCTTTGTGATCAAGTTTGACAAAAGATTAAAAGCCGAACATCTTTGAAGATCTGTGAAGCATATAATGTTTGGAGGCTTGTAACTGGCTTACCAACACTGCCATTAAAAGGCAAAATTTTAAAACACTGCAATGATTACGATGCATATTTGCATTCTTTTCTTAAATTAAGATGTGAACTGCTTCGCTTTCAAGTATTTTAAGATATTACTATATATAGATATACAAATTTGTGTATCTATATTTAATACAAACATATTTAATAAACAAATCAAAGCTCGCGCTGGCTAAGCTTCCTAATTGAATATCCTTTTGCACTTGGCGAGTAATAAAATCTCTTGAAACCCCTTCACACGATAACGAAGTAGAGGAAAAAAAAACCGCAACTTATCTTAGGCGCAACCCTATATACTGTTTTTCCGGCGAGGGTTGAGTCGTGCAATTCCTTGAAGTAATGGTAATGGAGCCATGACAAACAAAAAGTTTCAGCTCGTTAACGTTCAAATTAGGCGACGGCTTTGTAATCGGATCCACATAACTTTGCGGGTGTGCCAAAATGTATGCCCAAGTTGTTATGACTGAAGTGCAAGGGTCTCAAAAATAAAAAAAAGAATATAATGTAGACGGCCAGAGAAAGGGCCAGGCGGGCAGACGATGTAAACAGACTTGAGTGCCAGAGCAGAATTGCCACAGCTTCAGCTGCAGCTATATGTGTCTCTGTTGCATGTGCCTCTGCTGTATGTGCGTGTGTGTGTGTGTGTGTGTGTGTGTGTGTGTGTGTGTGTACCAAATACTGTCATGGGATATTAGCATGTGCTCGTAAAAAAATACTTTGCGAATATGTCCTGTGTCCCCCGAGCTGCAACGTGAGTAAGCGCCTGTCCGTGTGTTTGTGTGCACAGACTGTCTGCGCATTTCCGGTGAGTGCGTGTGTGTGTGTGTGTGTGTTTACCTAATTACATTCCGGAAATAAAACGTTGACTGATTGCGCCAATAAATGAAAATAATGACGTACCCATTGACTGCAAACTCGCAAAGCGACGGATGCGGCAAAACTGGCATCAAACTGAACTCAGCCGACAAAGTTTTTGCGCCCCCTACACCCCCTACACCCTCTACACCCCGCTCGCAGTCCACACCCTGCTGCTATGTTACTTTTGTGCTGCTCTTTGGCTTTCTCTTTCTGTGTGTGTGCCGTTAAAACACAAACTCTTGACGAGTTTATTTCCCCACGCAGTCGCTAACTGATTGTCTGTGATTTTCTTGTTTTTAGATAATGAAAGCACACACACGCACACACAACCACACATACATAATTTTTGTGTGGGCATATAAAAGTAAGAGTTGGCTAAAATGTTGCTTTTTATGTGCCTCCAGCTTGAAATTGTGGTCCATTTATTTCGTGATGGCCAGCAGAAAAAAATTAAGTTGGTCGAAATTGAGCTACTTTTGGTTTAAGGTTTTCGGCCAATCGCCTATAAATTATATATTAGCAGCAGCCGGGCGGAGTCTATATTATACCAAAGGAAATTAAGCGGCGTCGCCCGTTTGAAATACATACACACAAAACTACTTCTTGCGTTCGCCCCATTAAAGAATCAAAATAAATATGTTTCCTTATTTTAATTCCTGCCAAAAATTTCGTAAGACAGCATTTTACATATAGAGATAGGGCAGAAAATCCGATCCAAAAACTTTGAAAACTTGTTTGGCTTGTCAGACGCACCTAAGAGTCTGACGCAGAAATGCTTTTAGTATTTGAGTTAACACATTGCAGGCCACGTCTAAACGTCGAAAACTGTGTCAATTTTGTTGGCCGATGCAGCTGCAATCCAAATGCTTGCCAGCTAAACCAGAAAACTATGCTAAACATTTGGCTATTTACCTAAAGCTCCAGACTATGCGTGTTGGCCACAACTGGATACAAGCCCAGCTGCACGCTGCGGAGCGAGGCGGACGGATTCGGGTGCTACGAAGAAAAAAACACTGGGCCCTTTACTAATTTCAGCACAATAACCCAAATTAAAGCGGTTTTTGAGTTTTGTTTGCAGACGTCGTAACACGACAAGCAACCGAAGTGCTGAGAAAACACGAGAGAGAGCGAGTGATAGAACTCTCTAAAATAAGAGACAAAACGAGACTCATTTATAGCAACAACATTGCGCAGAAGCGTGCATGAGAGAGAGAAAGAGTGAGAGCGCGGAGAGTCGTGTGTTTTGAGAAATGTTTGCTATAAAAATGTAACAGCTGTTTTTATTGTCCTCGAACGCAGCATCAATTAAGTCCACTCAAGAAAGGAAACAAACTATCCCACAAGTTGTTCACTAGGGACTCAGATGATGAACAAGTTAATAAATAACAAAAATATAAAAAAAAATAATAACTAATCATTAAACTAGGATTTAATACCATATGTTAATTCGTATTATTTTATTTAATTTGATGAGAATTTGTATATAGATATGAATATGAAAAGAATAAATAAATATATGGAGGAACCCGAAGATTTAAAATTCCTTGTCGACGTGCCATACAAAAACTCATCAGTCGACTATAGAAATACGATATTGATAAGATATAGCTTACATGTAGGCAGCATAGTTTGACTAACAAGCTTATAATAGGTCAAGGTAACTTGATAGTCAATCTAAATTGGTTTAATTACTTGAATCGAATACAATGATAAAAACTATTTAGATGCTTATCTCTGAGTTACCCATAGTTTCTATGGATGCTACGGATCAGCGCAGACAAAAACTGACGTAAGCTTTGTCTTAACAAAAAGCCGTATCTATTACAAGTTTTTAAAGTAGAGCTTAGAAGCTGAGAGACTAATTTCGTGTAATCAGATAAAGATTTCTCAACTTGACTATTGCCACTGATCAATATATAAACTTCAGGATATTTCCTTTTTACTATAAATACTTTGGGATACGATTATATCAATTAAAATTCGGACAGAATATGTAATAAATAATTATGCTGAAATTTTAAAATTTCTTCAAATATATTTTAATAAATTAATTGAGTAAAGTCAAAATATATAAATGTTAAATTATCATTTAATAGATAGTTAATTTCTTTAAAATATCTTGCTAAAGGTTTTCAAATATTTTTTTTATTTATTTAATTATATACCTAATTGAAAATGTGTGACAAATAATATATGTTTAGTGACGAGTCGGTCCATATGTGAAATGCCCGCGAAACGAGCGAGTTTTTTATCAGATGGTTGCCAAACTTTTCCTCCGTGGACCAATTTCACGCACTTTGCGCGCAACGAAGTGAGGCTGCCATAAATCGAGAGGCACAGAGAGTGACGGTGGGAGTATTAAAGAGAAAGCAAGAGAGAGGGAGTTGTAGAGAGCGAAAGAGAGCACGGAGTGCTGCTGCTACTGTTAACGTCGCTGCCTTTGCAGACGCCGACTTTTGCATGGCCTTAGTGCTGCTTGCTGCTGCTGATGCTGCTGCTGCTGTCGCTGCTGCTGCTGCTGCTGTCGCTGCCGGCTGGGTTGTCGCGTCGGTTTCGTGTCCGTGTCCGTGTCCTCGCCAACACCAGTCGCCGTTGCCAGTCGCTTGCGAAAGCGTAAAGTAAACAGACAAGCGTCGTCCGAGCATGCCAAAGCAGATGCGCGACGAAGTTTGCCAGCGCCGCCAACGACAACCACAGACAACAGACAACGGCAGCAGCAACAACAACATTAGCAACAACGACAAGTCGCACGAGCGAGCAGTAAAAGTTACGCAGCTGCTGGCTGCGACGCGAACAGCGACGCCTTTAATCGGTTATACGCAGGCTGCTTGCCTCTGCCTGGCCGCTTGCTTGCCACATCCTTTGATGCCGCATGCATTCAGTTAATTTCTGACCACAGCGGCAACGCGTTGCGTGCGCTTCGAGACGCGTTTCCTACACAGTTTTGCGTTGTGTTGTGTTATGTTGTTGTCTCGACACGAGCCCCAAACTGAACAGAGCCAACTCGGCGTATACGCAATGTGAATTTTTTAAAGGCCAAAACAAAACAGCAGCCGGAAAACTTTGCGCCCTCCAAAATGTTGAGTGCATTAGTTCAAAGTCAAATATAGGCCTGCAGCGAGGAAAATGTTGCAAGTAGCGTGTGGCAAGTGCCTCGAGCAAGGCTAAATATCAAAAAGTGCAACTAAAACCGATAAAATTAGTTGGCAAAAGTGAATTGCTCAAATGTGTGTGCTTCTTAGGGGGCGTGTCAGAAATCAAAAATTTAAATAAAAGCGACAAATTACGCAATAAACGACTTCATCAATTTGCATCAATCAAACCAAAAAAAAAAAATAAATATATTTGAACTAAACAATTTAATCGAGTGCACAAAAACCAAATTTTATTTAAAAATAAAGCATACGCAATGTGTGCACGAAAAATGTGTGTGTGTGTCTGTGTGTGAAGTGAAATGACAGTGACAGAGAAATTAAATTAAACATTGATAAATTGATTTATGTATGCAAAACAATTGAAAGCAAAGTACATCAAATAAAAAAGAAAGGAAAGTAAAAAAAAAGGGAAAGCAGCAGCAACAACAAGAAGCAGAGGAAAATGCCGGCATCAAGTGGATTATATCGAATCAAGCACGGGCGTGTCCTTGGCAGCGTGCAAAAAACGTCGGCACTTATTTGTATAGCATACATTGCGGCATGCAGCATTTGCGGTAAATATAACACACACCCACACACACACACACACAGCAAAACTGCTGTACATTTGATTGCTCAATAATAAATATACAGAGAAAAACGAAAATAAAACAATAAAACTGTAAAAGGAAAAGAAAAACAAAAGTAAAAAATTCATTCATTTCATATTCATGGCAATTATGACATATCAAATTTTCATTGCGGTTTCTCGTTTATCTCGAGTGCCAAACGTATACGAGAAATTTAATTTATGCGACATATTCGTAAAAATTGTCAAAAGCCATTCACGCACACGCACACACACACATTGAACCATTATGACAATAATAAATGGCATATTAATATTGCAAAAAGTCGCACACTTTCAATCAAAAGCCGAACATAAAGAAAACCAACATGTTTGACACCGAGCTGAGCATTTCTGCAGCTGAATACTATTTGAATATTGAAATCAAATAAATCATTTTACAATTTTGCCATCTGCATTTCAAATATGTCTTTTAAAATTAATACATTTGCTGTTAATATATAATTTCAATTAAGCACATGATAGCCGGCTCTAGCAGATATAGCATATTATATTATTGAAAACTTGTTTATCTTATTTAAACACTTTTCTTTTCACTTATTCAAAGTGAAATATCTTTATATATAAAATTATTTTTAACGATATTTAAGCTAAAAGTAATCAGATTTAGAGCTTTAATGTGCTTTTAACTATTCTGAAAAAATGTTGAAGAGTGCGCTATGGTGCAGTTATTAAGCCTAATCTATCCGACGAATTTTAGGTGCTTTCAAAGCTTTAGTAACATCCTTAAACACATTAACAGTTGATTAAAGCTAAGCTAGAACATCAAAAAGTGTATTGTCAATTAAAGCTTCTTTGGTTAATTGCACGCGAAGCTCTCATGTGCTTTCAAAGCTTAAGCTGCAGATGCATGGCACATGCTTGAAAACAATTACCAGTTGATTAAAGTAAACTTACAATATCAAAGCATTTTTGTGTAAAAGAACTGGAAACATAAATGTGCTGTCAAAGCTTTAGTAGATACATGGCACATGCTTATTCAAAATTGACGGTTGATTAAATATTGTAATGCCAAACAAAGCTTCGATATTTTGATGCACGTGAAGCTTTCATATGCTTTCAAAGATCTGCAACTTACGAATGGCACAATTAACAGCTCATTAAAGAAAGCCTTGAATAGTAAATTGTGCAATGGCCTGTTTCTTTATTTAGTTGCACTCGGAACTTAAATGTGCTTTCAGAGCTTTTGTTTTTATTCTTGCTACTGTCAGCCCATTTCTTTGAAATTCCCTTTCTGTTCAAACTTTATAAACACTTTGTAAAACGAATCAAACATCGATTTGGCAATATATGTGTGGCTGCACCTGTTTCTTATTGCATACATTTTGATAGGGCGAATCCCTTGAGCGGCTGTCGTCGGCTGAGTGAATGGCAATACGAGCAGATGGTAAATGTGTTTTATTTTATTGGCAATGTCGCTTACTGACAGGTCAGCGATAGCGCGGAAATCGTGCATCACTTGTCAATGCCTGACAGAGCAACAAGAGCAACAAAAGCAACAGCAACAATGACAACAACTGCAAAACGAAAACACGAATGCGAAAACACTTGTCTGCAGGGCAAACTGTATGTCCCACTGCCGTTTGCTGCTGTTGGCAATTTGTCAAGCAATCAACAAAGCCAGAAATTGCCCCCGGCTCGTCGTCAGCGTTGTGGATGGCCCAAGGGGTTGGTTGGCAAACGGGGAAAGGGGTTTGTTGGGGCTATAGCCCCAAGGTGCTGCTGCCGTTTGGCGCTCGGCGCTTGAGCTATGCGAATGTTTGTTGCCAAATCATTGAAACAAATAAAAGCAAAGTGCAAAAGAAAAAACCGATCAAAGAGCACAAGCACACACACACACACACACACATGTGTGTATAGAGTGTGTGTGCTGGTTGTGTGCTGTGTTGTGTTGAGTTGTGTTGTGTGTGTGTGTGAGTGTGGCTGCTGGCCCTCAGAATAACTGGAGCACTTGGTGGCAGCGCATCTATAGCGCGCTGCGTGCGTGCTACTGCCCCGCTCCGTCCCGCCTGGCCACGCCTCGTTTCGCCCGACTGCCCCTTTTGGGGCCACAAAACAGTCTGTGAAATCGTCAAATAAAGCGACCCAGTTGCTGGCCCTGGAGCTGTGCACTTCTGCCACAACTAGAACACATCCATTGTTGCATGTGTTATGCCAACTTATGTATCCAGCTTTTTGGGTTACACACACACACACTCGCACACACACACTCTTCAGCTGTCACTGTCAATGTTGTAATAAAAAAAAAACATCGACAACAACAAAATAAACAAAAGCTTAGTTCTTAAATGAAAACAATTTTAATGCTGTGCTTGCCGTTTTCTCGTACATCATTTTTCTAGTTTCTTTTTTTATTATTATTTGGAGCACATTAATATTTAGCCCAGCGACAGGCTCGTATATCAATATTTATGCATGTCAGGAGCCCAGGGATTCGAAGGACAGCAAGAAATGCTGCGCATACATTTTCACACACACACACAAACACATGCACGAAACTGCATTTTATACCGCTCAAATCTGCAGCTCAATACACGCAAATATTTGCATAATTTAGACAAAAAAGAAAAGGAACGAAAAAAACATTGAAAATATGATATCAGATATTATAATGCACAGCCAAAATACCCTTGCGTATGGCTATTGCACTGATTTTTTATTGAACAGCTATTTTTCAGCACTTGGAATTTATTTACAGCTTTGGAAAATGTATATTTTTTGCTTTTCAAATAAAATTTGTTGAAATTAGTTTTCATTATGCCACGCTCAGTGGGTTCAGTTTATAAGCCCCCTTTTATAACTTACTAGTTGTTTTACTGTCTCTAAATCTATTTATCTGTATCTGAATATGTCGAAATAGAGCGTTTAGGTGTTCTAAGTAGAGAAAAAAGACGATCTTTAAGTAAAGGAGACACCTGCGTAACCCCAAATGAAAATCGTAACAAGTGATTTTTGATGGCAAATAAATAAATATTTTAAAAGTCCGATAAGACTAATTACCAGAAATTGGCTGCAATTCGGTAAAGCCATTTTATTGGGCTCAAGTCCATTTACACACAATTAATTCAATGAAAAGCATTTGCTTATAAGATGTATTTGCAGTTTCATATTACAATTCATATAAAACATTATTGTATTCAGTCTTACGATGAATGAAGCAAACGTCTACTCGTAGCTAAAACACCCATAAAGGGTATGCCCAACTACGTGACGGCACTTGAAATATTGGCAGCAATTGCAGTCAAAATATTGCCAGCTGTGCAGTCTGAATGCAGATAGCTAAAGGACATGCCTGTGAGCATGTGTGTGTGCGTGTGTGTGTGTAAACTGTCCAAAAATATCCTTTGAAAAAGAGCGCAGAATACAAATATTTAGGGCCTTCTTTTTTCAATACCCGGTGATTAGTTGGCCACAACAAGCTAATTGGCATCCACAAAAAAAAATGGGGAAAAAAAATAAAAACTGAAGCCCGTTTGATTTCCTAATTGCCAGGATATTGGCTCCCCGCCGGGTCTTGCGCTGGCTGCGTGCGGGGGCGTATACGTAATATGAGCTGCGTATTTCAATTGCGTTCGAATTGATGATTTTAATTGAAAGCGAAACAAGCGAAAAGTAATTGGAAAAGCGTATTCGCTTAATGGCAGCTGCCCGCGTTGATGTTTCCTTGCAACAACAACAAGGGTTGTTGCACGTTGCACGTTCCACGTACTTCAATATTTCTTCATCCCAAGCGTAATAATTTTAAATAAACTCAAGTCGGCCTGTCAGCAGACCCGGTGAAACGGGCAGAGCCTTCGCACGGGTCAAGGCCTGAAAGGCAGGCACACACACACACACACACACACAGACATATGCATATACATATGCGCGTTGGCAAGCATAATTTAATAGTGGCCATGCACACACACACGCGAACATACAGCAAGAAGCAGTTGTGCCCCTGCAAGAGAGCCATAAAGTTCACCTGTTACAAATGCAACGACACGTGGGCGTTGCTGCGGCCATGGCAGCCATAATAATCAACACAAAAACTAATGGTCGCTCATGCTCACGCACACACACACACACGCACACACACAAGCACGGACTTACATGTGCTGTGCACACATGTGAGTCTTTGGCGCTGAGCCTGCACTTACGCCTGCATTGCGAGTGCAGAGGAGGGGCCGAGGGGCAGGTGCGCTGCCGGGCTCGCTGAATACACGTAAATTCTACATAATTCAAAGGCGGCGCCACCTTTTGGCAATCTCAATACGGATACAGCGAGCAGCGGCGGATGCGAATGTGCGCTGAGATTTGCGGTAACGATAAAAGGGTATGAAAGCGAGCGAGCATATAAAGTTCTTTAAATGTTTGGAGCAAATATATGTATATATATATATATATATAGATGCCAGAATAGCAACAAATGCCAAATAGCTTCCTTCCACATGCTCTTCAACTGTCACTCACCAATTTAACATCTATGTTAACCAAATGAACTTAGCACATAGTTAAGTTGTATCTATTACGTTAAGTATACAGCTAAGCTAATATTTGAAGTAAGCTAAAGTTTTATAAACTTTGAGGTTATTGGAGATCTAAGTTCGTTATTTATAAAACAAACAATGCATCTAAGCACACGCTTCATAGTATGGCTCGAAGTCTGGGGTTACTTATTTAAATCAAAAATTAAAAACAATTCTGTTAATATATATTGATATATTTTGCCTTCGTGCTATTATTCTACACTTCTGCGCCTTTTTACGTGAATATCTCTTGACATATATCTTTAAGTTCTCCCTTACTACCAGATAGATAAACTAATGAAGTGAGACTTACAAAAAAATCCCAAGTAATTAAAAAATATTGTAAGCTAGTTATTTCTTTATCTCTCCATTAAATGATGGCATAGAAACAAATTCACACGTTTCTCAGCATTTATTA